CTGCTAACCCTCCGCCTTCCCTCGCTGGGCATCGCCGGCTCGGTGCCTGGCGGACAGCGTGCTCCCGAGAAACTCGCCAATCTGGGTGATGCAGGGGGCGTAAAGTGCCACCGCTGCATAGGTCCAGCCTTCCCGCCCTTTTTTCCTCCCCCCCTACTCCTTAATCTAAACCTTTTCCAAGCGCTAATTGCAATATCTCTGTCCTTTCCCCCCGACTCTAGCTGGGATGCTGCCTATGAAAGGGAACTGCAAACTTTCCAAGTTATTGGAGACGCCGGGGAAATTTGGTAAATAAAATAACTCTGCCAGAGCGTTCCTATTCTTTGTGTGTAAAACAGACACTGCAGAAGCACAGCCAGCAGTTCGGTGGGTCACGGAGTACTTCTGGAGGTTGGCAGAAGGGTGGGGAAGTTTAACCTGGAAGCCACCAATTCCTCCCTTGCCCGGTTGTGCAATGCAGATTTCTAAGTTGCACTTGGACAACTGTCATTACGCAGAAAGCGAGCTGGCCGTGGTGGTGTGTGGTTGCTAATAAATGCCCGTTTTACCCCTGAGCTCAGGTTTAACTAGGCAAGTTGACAGTGCTGTCTTCTTTTTTAATATATGAAGGGTTTCGCCTCCCAGAGTGGGTGTTTCTGTGAGTTGTAAGGCCACGTGATTCATTTCAACTTCAACAAAGCAAACGTGGAGTGTGAGCTATGGCAGTTGCTACCGAGGTGCTTCAGTAAGAGACGCTTTGCAAAAGCTGGAGAGAGGGAGCGATGACATAAATTTGCTGTACTTTTTGCGTGCTTTCGCTGTCTTGATTACCTGAGCCCTCATTTTCCATAGGTTCGGAGAAGAAAGCATGGCTCGCATAATCAGATGGCTGGAAAAACACCAGGTTCCCCTTGACAGCTCTGTGCTTGACATTGGAACTGGAAACGGTGTTTTACTGATTGAATTGGTTGGTATATTGCAAAGTTTGTGCTTTTGATACAGAATCAAAGCTCTGAACGCAGTAGCTTCAATACGGTTCTCACAAGTGGCAGCAGTAATCATGGCAAGCTGTAACTTGCCTGAAAGACAAAAAGGAAGCAGCCTATATCGGTGCTTGCTAAATTAAAACTTATATTGTGTTTTTTTACCCATCAACAGAACACTGGTTACTGTGCATCAGGTTTTATATTTTCATTTGGTTTAAGAGTATAAGTGAATTAATTCAGTGTTGTTGGTACATATTAAAGAACATCCTGTCACAAAGGCAAGGCATAAATTGCAAGTGGCTGCCAGACAGCCTGTGGGACCTGTAACTCCTTGCACCAGCAAGGCTGTTACGGGGTTTTAAAAGCGCAGTCCTAGCAAGAGAATATGTGTGGTGTTCTACCAAATGGAAGGATCTACTCTTTTGCTAGACATGCTCAAACTTCTCGTTTCTTGCCCAAATTGTCAGTACTTCAGATTTTGAAATTTATGGTATTTCTTTAAATCAGTCAGCCTGAATATCCCTTATTTTAACTTTACCGTTCTGTTTTCCTATATTTAAAAGTGCTTTTCTTTCCATTGTTGTGTAAAACATCCTCAGGTAAGGAAATTGAGTAATACACAAAGTATTCTCCTGTGCAAAACCAGACCCTTTCACCATACTCAGTTCTGATAATAATACTCATTATCGATGCAAGAAGTGGTTAAAACCAAGTTTTTTGTGTAAATGACTTGAAAAGTTGGTAATGCTTCTTTTCAAGAAGTATCCACTTCTGCCAGGGCGTTAGAAACCCCTCCCAGATATGTTCTGAAGTGTTACAGTGTGGTCCTTACACAGCCATATGAGATGTTTAGGAGTTGTGGGGTTTTTTTCCTGGTTTTGATTGAATACAGGAGAGCTGGTGAGGAAAGGAGCTCTCGTACTGTAGCAGTTGCTGTCGTTCCACATTCTCCAGTGGCTCCTTTAGTTACTGTAGGAATTGAAAGGGATGGAAGTCACAGTCAGGTTTATAACGATAATCTTTTTAACATGGATTTTGATTTTTGAAGACTTTAAAGCCTTTGTGGGAACTGGCTGCCACGCTGCAACACAGGAGAAATCATATAATCAAAAGCAGAGATTGCACATCTCATTAAAAGAAATGAATTCTGAAGCCTAGCAGTGATGATTGTGAAGTGCAATGCAATGCTAGCTAGTTCTATCGCTGTTTAAATACCCAACAGAAAAACCTTATTTATCAGACTTCAGTTTTATACTGGCACCGCTTACAAATATGAAATCGATTTTCATTCTGTGATGGGCAGATGACAGCCTGCTAGCTTTTAAAAACTGTTAAATTGCTGTAAGAGCACCCTCGCCCTTTACAGTAAGCACCTCAAAGTACTGCAGTTGCTTTAATAGGAAATTCTCAGTCCAGTCCCATTTGAAAAGCGACTTCAGAAATTACATTGTTTCTAAATAACTCTGGATCTCACTTGCTTAGCTGATGTAAAAGGATTTTTTTGTGTATTAGCTGCTAGGCTTTGAAAATCAAGTCAGGATTCCTTTGGCAAGCACAGCAGCTACTGTAGAACAGCTCTGCCGCTGGAGTTGGACTCGATAATGTGATAGAAAAGGCGATACTGAGAAGGCAGTCGGACTTCAGTCGCATAGCACATCAGTAGCACCTCTGCAAAAGGTCCGTGTCGGACCATCATCGGAACGGGAAGAGGTGCCACAGAGCACAGTTCGTTGGGGAATGCCGGACCCTGGCACGCCATTAGCAGTAAAGAATAGTAAATGGGAGCACAGTAAGAAAATTACTCTTAAATGCAGCTAGGTCTAAGTGAGACATGATCAGTTCCAGCAGGGAATATTGCACAAAAATAAGAGGCAGAATAGCCATCTGGAAAGCAGGTAATAAATAAAATGACAACAAGACTGCTATATCCTGTTCAAACTGGCCCCACTACCCAGCTAGAGGAAAACATCCAGCACGCTGCTGAGTGTCTTCTACATGCGCACCGCAGGGATCTGCCCGTCTGTAAGCTCCAAGAGAAATGCCGCTGGAGGCTTCCGCTCTGCTTTCGGCCTGCTTTGAGGATCTCAGATACAGAAGTTGGACCCCTTGCTGGTTTTATATGTGTAGTAGACCGCAGTCCTACCACTGTTAACTTCAGGGATCTGGTGGGCTGCATTGATGACCTAATTCTTCTGCCTTCCAAAAATTCCTGCTCTTCTAAGGAAATGTTGCTGCCGCGTGGAGCTCTGACCTTCTCTTTTGTTTTCTTTTCCTGAGTATTGTGGGAGCCAACAGTGTTGAAAAACTTCTCTGAAGTGAAGGGTGTTCACCACCCAAGTCCAGGTGTCTGCCTGGCAGCACCAGAAGCCCAGACATAGGGCAGTGCTGAGAACATTGCAGACTCCCTTCTATTTAGTCTGTTTTTTCAAGAAGCGGCAGAAGAGCGTGTATAAATACCACCTTCAGGACAGGAGTCCAGTTGCAGGATGCAGCGGGGTCATGTTTGGCACTTGAGTGAATGATCCCTTCCTGGCCATACGCAGTCAGGCCATACAGGTTCGGCAGCATTTAATGTTGTTTATCTTTAAACTTTCCTTCTCTGCCCCGGAGACTATAGGAGTGAATGGGAACTCCCTGGAGTGACTCAAGCTCTTCCTTTCCAAACAGAAGAGCTGTTGTGGGAACTACTCTTCCACCCCCAAGTCTTCAGCACAGGCATCTCAGGAAGCTTGGTTTGCTCTGGGGAGGAACGTGGGCAGGAGCCTGAGCAATATGCTGTTCTTCATCAAATGCAAACAACACAGTCTTTGTGTTTAGCTGAAATTAGCCCTCAATGAAGAACAGCTGGCTAGCACTGAGCTCACACTGGCTGAAGGGCTGCTGGGAGGAGGAAGGAGCGGTGCAAAAAATTCTCATAGTTTTTCTCGCTGTCAAGGTATCAGCCTTTGGAACGAGTAGATGTGCAGCTGATTGCTTAATGCTAGTTTTAGTCCATGTGTTATTCAAAAACAAAACAAACCCAAGCCTTGTCCCTCTCTGTGCTGTAGCTGCCTGCAGCTGGCCATAAGATCACAGCCCTTCCTGTTAGGTTTGGATCTGGCCAGACCAACTGACGCACGTGACACCCAGATCTGGTCGCTTCAGCCTCTACCTCAGAGTGAAAACGTGTTGCTGACCCCCTCCCACGTGCCCAGCGCCAGCAGATGCAAGGTGCCCACCCGCTTGGCAAAAGGGTTGCTAGGATCTCGCTGCCCGAGTTCGCTCAACTGGGTTATCATTATCTGCTCCGAAGTCAGATTAACAGAAAGCCTCTGTATGTTCTTTTATGTGGTGCAAAACCTGTCTGAAAATTGCTGATCCAAAGACCTTGTAGCATGCAAATCATTGCATTCAAGTAGACATTAGCATGGATCGTTAGAAAATTGTAAGGCTTTGCAGGGGATTTGTGTACTAACAAAATGCATTATGTATGTTGGCTCTTACAGTTTGGGTTATAAATCAAATAATTGCTCAATCTCAAATGTTATACAAGTGTCAAGAGAGGTTTTCTTACTTCGCAGCATCTGGCGTTGGCACATGTTCTCATCGCTGAAAATTCCTAGTTTCTAGGTTACTTTTGGTGCAGATAAGAGAGCCTGTTCCCCTCCAGGGTATTACTTTTCACGGCTCTGCTCAGTTTTCCACTTGTTGACAGAAAGCAGCTTTCAGCCAACAGCTCTTTCGATGGGGTATTAGGCAGAATGGAGTTATTTCAGCTCGTTCCCCCAGCTATTTAGCTCCTGTAATGGTAACAGGAATAAAAATGCGTAAAAGGGGCTTTTTTTCTGTCGTTAAGAGGAGGAGGGATGAGATGGATTACAGATAGGGAATACACTTGTTGGATAAAAGAATTGCTAGCACGCTAATTAAAATTCTCTGCTTCTGTCTAGGCAAAGTCTGGCTACACTAACCTCACTGGGATTGATTACTCTCCTTCTGCAATACAACTTTCAGAAAAACTGAGAGACAAAGAAGGGATGTCTAACATTAAATTAAAGGTAAGTTTTGAGAGAAAGTTACTGAGAAAA